ATGAATAATAAAACACATATTCACGGATGTTTATTTCATCCCCAAAAAAAGTCTCAAACTCTGATACTCACACAATATTCTATTTGAAGAGGATATTTATTTTATCCCCACCAATAAGGACTTCTCCAACGAAGCGAATATTTATTTTATCTACGAATTCTAATCCCCGTGAATCAATTAGATTCATTTGGACAATTCTTCAAGTAAAGTCAAAATGTTATTTCCCCAGAGAAATTCAAAGTTCTAAAGCAGGATTGTAGTCCCAAGGGTGGTTTTATCCATCCCGGTGATTGTTTCGGTTTGCGAAGATTTGGCTGAGTATCCTCGTTTGAGATGTTTATTTCATCTTCGATTCCTTCTTCTTGTTGTTTTGTCGCCATAATCATAGCAGATAGATACATGGCATCTGTGCATTTTGCATTTTGGTGTTTATTTGTTTATTTACTTTGGTTGTGTTTATCCCCAAGTGACTGGGTTTATCTTCTCTCTCCAAATAGAGTCGTCAGTCCTAGGCAGAAAAAACACAACATTTCTAAATCCCCACCGAGTTTGATTCTCGTGGAAGATGGTTGTTTTAGTTTTATTTTCCATTCTTGGATAAGATAAACCCTGGTTGAGTTCATTTCCTCACTGGAGGGAGTCTTGCTTGACCGTTTCTTTTCAGTTACTCCTTGAATTGAACTCTGGTCCTTGATAATCACCATTTTGGATATCTCTAGGCTTTTGAACTTAGATTGAGCGTGCATTTATTTTGCACTTTGATTCCCCGGTAAGAATCTGTTTGAAGACCACCATTGAAGATAAAGTATTTCTTCAGCAGTGTTACAACATTTTCTCAGCAAGTTATACCCAACGACAAGTGCCAGCTCTTTATTTGAGCAGCTTGTTTTATTTTCAAGATTTCTATTTGGATGAGAAATGCCAGTCTCCTTAAGACAGTTTGTCTATCCCCGGTGGGTTTTGTTAGACGATGGCTCGGATCTAGAAGGGGGTTGAATAGATCCCAATTAAAATTTGAGTCGGCGCTTACCAATTTAAAATTAGTTTTAAAAATATTTTTAAGTGCGGAAGCAGCCTTGGAAAAACATATCTAAAACGAACCGTTATTGGAAGATCGGATATGCGTTAAGCTAACGGATATGATAATAAAAGAAGAGTAGATTCAATACACTAGTCACACTAATCAATTGATTTCACCACTAATTAGTAGTGCTAGTTCCAATGCTCAACACAGCCCACCAAAATATAGCAAGTAAACTAAGTAAGTTTTGGTTCAGGAAATTTATCGAACACTTGGTGTGCAAAAAACTCCAAGTGGATTTTGACTTAAGTAAGTAACTTTAAAATCCTTGTACAAGTGTTTACTGTACACAAGTTTAAACAGTTCTAGTTACTTACTAAATTCAATGTTCAAATCAATAAAATTGCTTAAACTAAAATCACTTAATTGTTAAGCTGAAAATGAAAATACTGAAAAGTAAAGAAGACAAAGATTTGTTGAGGCAGTTCCCCCACCATCCTCGCTTCGGGGTATGTCTGCCCTCAATTCTAAAAATAGAATTGAGATGATTTATAATAGATATCACCTGAAAAGTTGTAGTAGTTTATACAAGAGTTGATAAGCAATAATACAAACAATCCCTATAGATGTTGATGTTGCTATCACTTCTTGCTCCTTGATTCGAGTTGAATCAAGACCCCCGATCGTTGTGAATTGACCTCCGATTCCAGCCCCTTTGTTGAATAACTTTCAGTTCTTCAAACCCTCGGCCCGGCTGATCTTAGACACCAACGAATCGAACCCGGAACTCCCTTTAACACTTCACAGCCCCAGCTACTAGATTGATGAAATCTTTCGTTTCTCAATCACCTTTGCACCGTTGAATGTTGATGGAGAATATTCGTACCAAAAACCCCCCAAATTCGTAGAATCTTGGAGGGCAAACCCTTTAAGGTTTTATTCAAGAAAAACCTGCCACAATTCTCCACCCGAACTGGATTTTCACTCAACAGATTCGAACCTTATCACCTTGAACGAGACACAAAGCACTCCAAAAATGGTTGTGTGTAGTTGCAGTGTTGTGTGTTGCTTGAGGATGAAGATGAAGAGAAATGTAAGCACCTATTTCACTTTTCTTGTTTTCACAATATACTCAAAATGTAATTGTTAGAGTATTAAAATGAACAACCTTCTATTTATAGTAATAAGCCAAATAACTAACACAACAGGATTTTAAACAGTAAAAAAATACTTAACAACGCGCGAACGGTCGACCATAGCAGGTCTATGCGTCGACGCGTGGCCTGCAGAAATTAGCAATATTAAAAACTCAACAGTATGCGTCGACCACAGGTCGGCATGCGCTGGTCCGTGGAAAATGTGAAGTCTTCATGCGCCGACTGATGGTCGACTCATAGCTTCCTTGCGCTGACCCATGGGAAAGTAAACTGGGTTGTACGCTGACTGGTGGTCGACGCACAGCTTCCATGCGCTGACCCGTAGGAAGGTTAATTGGGTTGTGCGCTGATATGTGGTCGACTCAGAGCTTCAAAACCTGCAAAAATCATCACTTGTTGTTTCGTGCGCTTTGTCACGACTGAATATTTATTACGTGTTTTTCCAATGATAATATGATGAATTAAAGAGATATATGAAGGATATGATATGTTAAGTATTACAATTGTCTTTTGGGTGAAATTGACAGCTCCTATTGATCCGAGGTTATACTTTGTCATCATCGAAACTTGAGAACATATGTTGTGTGACTACTTGCCCTCACAGGTTTTATTAAGATTATCAACCTATCATCCATCAAATGGCATCTCTTTGGAAATCTATCAGACAAGTTTGGTGAAGACTAGACATGGCAATATAACCCATACCCGCGGGTACCCGCCCGAACCCACACCGAATTTGACGGAAAAAATCCACTTTGAATGGGTTTGGGTTTTCCCCGATTTTTAAATATGGGAACGGGGCGAGTAATGGGGACTGTAGTACCCACCCTGAACCCTCCCCGTTTATTATTATTATTATTATTATTTAAAAAATCATAATATTTTTTATAAAATCATACATTATATTTTTAACTCTTCCACTTCTTGTAGATTAGTTGCTAATTATCAATTAGACATATACAATGGTTAATTTAAAAATTGAAGTTGAACCATTGTAAAACATACATTTACGATTGGCTATATTAATTAAAATTAATAGACTTTTATTAAAAAACAAAAGTTAATAGACTTTTAACATTCCAAAAACAAACTTTAATGGTTCAGTAATGTCTCTTCCAATATTCAAATACTCTCACTATCATTGAACTTTCCTTTTTCTTATCAACATCTTAAAACGTTGTTGACATCACCATCTTAACGACATCACCATCTTGGCATCCTCATCAAAATTATTTTTGCTGTAAGTTTTAATCTCTTATTTTTACTTCTAAATCTTAAAACTTTATTGTGTTTGTAGAATAATGTGATTGTTGTAAGCACTATATTCTCTTAGTTTTTTTATTAGAGTGTTTAAAAGTTTGTTGTAAATTTTAATCTCTTATTTTTACTTCTAAGTCTTAAAACTTTATTGTGTTTGTAGAAGAATGTGATTGTTGTAAGCACTATATTCTCTTAGTTTTTTTATTAGAGTGTTTAAAAGTTTAAATCTATATTAGAAATATATGTATGAATTTTCCATACTAACAACAAAATTATTAATGAGAGGCCATAGGCGTATATACCTATTGAGAATTAAGATATCATTAATTTTTATGTGTGTAACCATTCTACGAGTTATTAATATTTATATCTATATCAATATTCTTATTCTTATAATTTCAATTTCAACCATTTTGTTTCTTATTTTTTTTGGAGAAGAAAAATTGTTTGTCTTTTTTTAATAAATTAAACCGCTTCATTTAGATTTTAGATAAACATAAGAGGTTCATATAGCCAATTAGCCATAGAGTCATAGAAAGGGACCTAGTTTGGCTTAAAGACAAATGAATAATAATGACTATGTTGTTGTTCTAATTTTTTAAAAAATTTAATGACTATGCTTTTTTTTATTTAAATATATTGACTATACTTTTATGGTTTGGTTTGGTTATTTATCCAAGTATTTACTATTTAGTATATTCAAATGACATTCTCTACTGTAAATTATTTATTTTATGTAACTAATGGTTTAATTTGTAGTTTAAAATGGTAGATTGTTTGTTTAATGAGTTATTGTTGATATAAATTGCATTTAATTAGTTTTTTAATTTGAACAACTCAACAGGAGATAAACATGAAAAATATTGGTAACGTTAACCCATTTATTTCACAAGATAGTGCACACCAAGTAGCTCCCGCTATGGAAGAAAGTTTCAACTCTTCGCTTAATGGTCTGACACCATCGAAGGAAACAGTTGAAACACCTAATGATGAGACAACTGATAAAATGGATACATTGATAATATAGAGGCATTGTCGGAAACAAAGAAAGGAAGGCTTAGGAGTAAGGCTTGTGATCATTTTGCAAAGGTAAAAGTTAATGGCGAGGATAAGGCTCAATGTAAATATTGCAAGAAATTTCTTGGTGGAAAATCGAGCAATGGAACAAAACACTTGCTTCAACATATGGAGACATGCATTCATCGCAAAATTCATGAGAACAAGATTACAAAAGGACAAACATTTCTCATTCCCAAGAGCTTGCAAGGAAAGCAAGAATTAGAAGTTGGTACTTATAATGCTGAAAAATCAATGAAAGAGCTTGCATGTGCAATAATCATGCATGAGTATCCACTTTCAATTGTAGATCATATTGGTTTTCAAAGATTTGTTACTTCTCTACAACCATTGTTTCGTGTTCCTTGTAGAAATACTATCAGGAAAGAGATATTTAAAGTGTACGAGTTTGAGAAGACAATAACTTCAAAGTTATTAGATAGTCTTCAAGCAAGAGTGGCGATTACTTCAGACATGTGGACTTCAAATAATAAAAAAAGGGGTATATGGTTGTTACTGCACATTATATTGATGGATCTTGGAATTTGCAGAGTTGCATCTTGAGGTAATTACAATTTGTTATGTCTAGTTTAAGCATAAATATAACATTTTAGCTTCATTTATTTCATATTTTGAATTTTATTATATGCTAGGTTCATTTATATTCCTGCTCCTCATTCAGGTGATAGACTTTGTGCTGCTTTAGTTAAGTGTTTAATGGACTGTAATACAAAATTGTCAACTATCACTTTAGATAATTGTAGCACAAATGATGATGTGATGGACAAAATTAAGGAGAAGTTACATTTAAGTACTTTGTTGAGGGATGGATCTTTACTTCATATGCGTTGTTGCGCACACATATTAAATTTGATAGTAAAGGATGGTTTAGAAGTAGTGAAAGATGGAGTAGAAGATATTCGGGATAGTGTAGTTTATTGGACAACAACTCAAGAAAAGGAAAATTTGAGGAGACAACTAAGCAAATGTGAATTTCTTGCACTAAAACTTTAAGTTTAGATTGTCCAACTAGATGGAACTCCACTTATAAAATGCTTGACATTGCTATTTTGTATGAGAATGTATTTAGCCGGTTAAGGCTACGTGACACTCGATATGTTTGTGTTCCAACTAGTTCACAATGGAAATTTGCAAAAGATGTTTGTGAAAGATTGGAGTTGTTCAATAAAATCACTGAAATCATTTATGGCACTAAGTATCCCACTGCTAACATGTTTTTTCCTGAAATTTGTAAGATTAAATTGGCAATATCTGATTGGGTTAACTCTTCCAATTTATCGATCAAAGAAGTGGCTAATGATGGTTTAGATGATTATGATGCATATGTTCGAAAGAAGAAAAGAGCAAGAACTTCATATGTCAAAACAGAATTGGATCATTATTTGGAAGAGGAAGTTTTACCGCAAAGTTCTAATTTTGATATTCTATTGTGGTGGAAGTTAAATGGCATCAAATATCCAACACTCCGAGCAATTGCAAAAGATATTTTAGCAATTCTTATTTCTACAATAGCTTCAGAATCCGCATTCAATACTAGCGGTCATATTTTAAGCCCGCATCGCAATCGACTTCATTGGACAACTTTAGAGGCTTTGATGTGTGCTAAAAGTTGGTTATGGAGTATTGAAAATAGTGGTATGCTTTTATATTATTCTGTCACTTTTTATATATTATGAAATGACATATAATTTTGTATTTGTTAATTGATTGCTAATTATATTGTATTGTGTTTAATATTTTTAGGTGGTATGAGTTCTAAGTTAAGCAATGACTACACTACTTTGCTCGATGAAATAAAGCCCGATGAAGAAGGTAAAATTTTCCTTTGATTTATTTATTATTAATTTCTAATATGGAGTGTGAAACACATATTTTTCAATTTTTATTATGAAGTGTGAAGCGATTTATTTATTACTAATTTCTAGTGCGGAGTGTGAAGTATCCAGTTATCCATCCAACCAATTGACTTGTTAGTAATCAATTTGTTATTAGAATACAAGAGTAACTTTTTATTCTTATTTATTATTAATGTTTTTATTTTAATGTGTGTTTTCTATATAGGTGAAATATTGACTAGTGGTGTTATTTCCCTCTTTGAAGATGGAGAATAACATTTAGAGAAAGAAAAAAGACAATATTGATGTTGGCCACTTATCTATTTTTGTTAGCAATTTTCGTTGATAACGATGTTGAATATTTTTAGTTATGTGGTTGTTTTTTTTTATATTTTGGAATGTATAATATTTTTTTACTATGCGTTTGTTTGGATGGTAGTTTGAAATATTGACTAGTGATGTTATTTCCCTCTTTGAAGATGGAGAGCAACATGTAGAGAAAGAAAAAAGACAATATTGGTGTTGGCCACTTATCTATTTTTGACTAGCAATTTTCATTGACAAATGATGTTGAATATTTTTATTTATGTGGTTGTTTTATTGGTATTTTGGAATGTAGAATATTTTTTACTATGTGTTTGTTTGGATGGTAGTTTGTAATATCAATTTGTATTTTATTATTTAGTTTTTATATTTTGTATTATTTGGTTTTGCTAATTTGAAATATTAATTGTATGATTAATGAATTAATACTTTCGTTTGTATTTTATAATTTGAAATATATGTTTGAAATTCTTCGAGATTGCATTTTATTTTTGTAATACAAGTTAATATTTCTTAAGATTGGGATAGGTTTTGGTTTTAGGGGGAAATTTTGATTCGGGACAAAATTTGGGTTTGAGGTAGGATTTGGGTTTGGGGGCGGGGCGGGAATCCCCGAACCCATTTGGGACGGGGTTGGGGTTCAATTATTCATCCCCTCTGGGGTTCGGGGCGGGGAACGAGGACTTATTTGGGATTCGGGTTTGGGTTTGGGGAATACAAAAACCGTCCCCGCCCCGTTGCCATTCATGGTACAAAGATTTCAATACATTTACAAATCACAACAAGAGTGCTCCTCATAGACGTTTTCTCCAGTGAGTTCGTTATACAAAGTTAATTCCATCAAATGGCATCTCTCCAAGAAGTTTGGTGAAGATTATTGCAATACATCAAATCAACCGGCCTGCATCTCTTATGAAGATCCCTAGTGATTATTTCCTAATCTCCAGCAAATTATGGATTCCCGCTGATGTCATAAATCTCCAGCAGAACTTCAATCCCCTGTGAAGAAACTTTCCCATAAGTATTCATCATTTCAGGAAGAAACTGAGACCCGTTCATGGCATACAACCTTGAAGCGTGAAGAGGTTTACTTTACCCTTTTCAAGTTGGAATACTTGATCAAAGAAGAAACTGAGACTTATTCATGGCATACAACCTTAAAGCGTGAGGAGGTTTATTTTACCCTTTTCAAGTTGGAATACTTTATCAAAAAAGAAACTGAGACTCGTTCATGGCATACAACCTTGAAGCGTGAGGAGGTTTATTTACCCTTTCTAAATGAATCACTTAGTTAAATAAGATGTTGAATTATATTTTGATCATATAAGCTTATTTTGGTTATTACCTTTGCTTAGACCATCATACGTTTGATGGTAAATAATATATTGTATCATTTTGGATAGATATCGTTGCTTAGGCTACCAGGATTGGTAGTAGGCCATCTTTCCTCTTCACGTTACCTTTGCCTAGGCTGTCATATGAATGATAGTAGGTAATATGCGTCTCTTTGTTTCAACTGGATACCTTTACTCAAGCTGCCACAAGTAGGTAGTAAGTTATCCATTGTTTCAAATTTCTCGCCCGTTGTTTGAACTGTCACATGCATGTTAAAAAGAACTATACATCTTTATCTTGTTGGAAATACCATATGCTTAAATTATCCCCCAATGGTGTTTTCTTGTTTCTTCCCCAGTAGAATTGAGTCTTTCCCCGTAGAGTCTTGCTTTACCGAGTGTGTTCCCCGTCGGTTTCCTCTTTCTGTTGTTTCGGCATTTTCCGTATAGTTATTCCCCTGTGACACATTCCCCACAGGATCTTCGCCTTGCATTTTATATCATATTATTACACATCATATGCATATTGCGACATCTTAGGGGCAAAAATTCGTGGAATATTTGTATTAAGTCCCTACTATCACGTCGAGACAAAGATTTCAATCTTCATATCTCCGGATACAAAAAACTTAAATAGGGGCATCTACCACGCCTTAATTTTTAACCCTAAGATTCCACCTCTTTTTGCATCATAGTGCATCATTATAGGTCAACCATCAATTTCATGACTAACCGGTTTGTGCAGGCATATTTAATTTCAAGAAGTGGACGATATTCTCTTTTTCTCAATCCAGTACTGGAAGACAGGACCATTGGATTCTAATACAAAGAATCCCATGGCTTTTTGGAAATTATTTGCCTCCGAATTTCTCAGAAGTTTCAGGATACACCCCAAGAATTAAGTTTTTACTTTTCATTTGATTATGAACATGGGAATTTGAGAGTTGATGCTTTGACCTTAAAATCGAGTTTGTTGGACTTTGGTGCGTTATAATTTGGGCCCTAAAAACTTCAAGCTTGGTTGCAATATGGAATTATCTTAGGAGTTTTATCCTTTGAAGAATTTTTGGTCATTGTTAAGAGTCCTCTTGGTACTAAGGTTTATCAAAAATGTTGGTCTGATAGCATAATCATGATGTAGCCACCATCCAAACGTCCAAGTTCGAAGGAAATAGTTTGTCATGGTAACATTTTCACGAAACGAGTTAATTGATTTCAAAACTCACGATCCAAATTGATTTCAAAAGTTAGGTTGTATTTATAATTCAAATTAAGAATATCAGATTCACGTTCAAGTCTATTTCAAGACCCTTGTTCAAAGTTGTAATTTCGGAGAGATTTCGTGGAAAAAACAAGTTTGATTCAAAATTCTTGATATCAGAACTCATCAGTAATGGATTCAAGGGTATTCATATTTTTCTTTGCATACAAGATATGAATTCAAAGATACAATTTGATGTCCATCTTAAGTTTGATATAAGGATTTATTACAAACTCAAAGGTATAGAAATTCAAGTTAAATAACCCAAGTTATAAGAGCAAAGGGATCCTTATATGATTATTCATCCAGTTCCAAAGACCAATATTCCTGTCTTTCATAATATTCAAGTCGAAGATTGAAACTCTCATTCAAGTCATTAGTCAAACAATTCCAAAGTATTTTGAAGAGGCCTTACAAAAAAATACATCAAGATCCAGTATTAAATGGCCAATACTATTGAGATGACACCAAGCCTTTCCCCTAATTTGACTTTAACCCCATTGAATTCTAAAACTTCAAAGATTGCTCAAAACCTATACAAACAATTGAAGGACAAATCCAACTCAAAGATATAAGTTATTATTCTTCACCAGTTACACCGACTCCATGAACAAAATTAAAAATTTACATATATTTCAAACTCAAAGTTTCAAAGACTCAAAAGTGTTCACGAGATACAAATCATTCCATACAAAATCCTACACAATTCTACTTCGCAAGCCCTCACTCCATGCCGCGCTCCGTAAACCTGTCCCTACAAAGCCAAAACTGGATAAAAACAGTTGTCCAGCTGTTACCAGTATTATTAATTGTATTAATGACTAGCGCAAATGCTCGGTCTCATCACATCAAAGCCATACCCTCGCACACCCAGGTATAGAATCAGTTTTTTGGTTGTTTCTTGAGGCAGTTGGTAATTTGGAACATCGTGAATTCATCCATAAAGAACCTTTTCTCCATCTATAGTAACTGAAATAGACAGAACGAGAACAACAGATGTCAACTAGACTCATTGGTTTCTTGCATCGAACACGATTGAATGAAGGATGTAATGACGTCTCCAATTCGAGTTTACCTGCAATCTTGAAGGATTGTAGTCAGCATAAGCCAGCCTACATAAGAAGATTGTCACCACCCAAACCTTCCTAAAACGAGATGATACATTTACTAGGATAGGAATCATTTCTATACCAAGTATGTGATTCCTACTTCACACTCCTCATGTACTCTCAAGATACCTCTTCTCTCCATTATTCTTGTATCCCTTCCTCTCATTCGCTTGTTGCTATGGAGTTGTTCTGATATTTTCCTCGATATGCAACTTAACCCCTCACCTAAGCCTCCACGCCAAGGCATACTGACCCATAATGAAGGTGAGAAAATACTTAGAAGGGGGGGGGGGTTGAATAAGGATTTAGAAAATATTATGGCAATAAAAACACAAAGATTTTTATCCTGGTTCGTTGAACTCAACTACTCCAGTCCACTATATCAAGAGTGATTTGCATTTCTCCACAAGGACTTAATCCACTATAATCAAACTGATTACAATATCAATCATTAAGAACAACTGTCTTAGTCTTCTCAAGAACTAATGACCACAACTTGGTCTTCTCAAGGAACTTTTACAATCAAATGTAAACTAAACAAGTGTTTGAAATGCTTCTAAGTAAGCTATATCACAACTGTGATTTACACTTAAGTTTAAGAACGTATGAAAACTATTTAGCAAAGAATAATAATTTGTATGAGAGCTTTGAGAGAGTTTTCAATGAATTTGTTCAATTTTCGTCAACTGAAAAAAGTTGTTGAAGGCTTGCTTTTATAGACTTAGAAATCCAAGACGTTGCAAGCTTGAAGACCGTGTACTGCAAAGTAGCTGTAACCTTTTGTCTTCATATGACTTGACATTTCCCATAATTAGAACATTCAGAGAAATCCTTCTTGCCTGAGTTCTTGTGTCTAGCATAAAAGAGGAAAGAATCGTTTGGCATAACCAACGGATATAACTTTGAATAATCTTCTTCAATAAGTTTCTATTTCTCAGCAATCAACATCAGAGCCTTGAGCGATCA